TGTGTATACTTTATTCAACTCACACATTTCTTTTATTGTAAACTTTATAAGCTTACTATGTGGTGAGTTACCCAGAAAGACACCCTTATCACTTTTAGCATTGAACTTCTCTAGAGCCTCTTTACCATTATTGTGCATAAAATACTTGTTGCCAAAGGCTCTTAGGTGATTACACTGGGTTTTCTGCCCTTAAGTAGTTCATGGGATTTGTCAATTATTGGCCTAATCATGCACCTATTTATGATATAGGATGCAGTGTTCACAACTTCAGCCCAAAAGGTTTTAGGAAGTCCACTGCTAATTAGCATAGTTTTGGACATATCATCTAGAATTATATTTTTTTCTTTCTACAATACCATTTTTTATGGTGTCCTGGGTGCAGAGAAATTATGGTCTATACCATTTCCAGCACAAAACTCTAGAAAGTTAACATTTTCAAATTCAGTTCCATGGTCAGATCTAGTGTTAGCTACATGACTGTTTATTTTTCTTTGTAGTTTCTTCACAAAAGTCACAAACATGTCATATGTTTCATCCTTAGTTGCGAGAAAAATAGTCTAGATAAACCTAGAATATCATCAACAATTACAAACACATACTCTTTCCACCTCTACTATGAACCCTCATTGATCCACATAAGTCCATGTGAAGTAGTTCCAGGGGTCGAGAGGTACTTACCACTTTCTTGGATTTGAATGATGACCTGACCTGCTTACCTTTAGTACATGCATCACATATTTTATCTTTCTTGAATTTTGACTTGGGAGAACCAAGAACTTGGTCATTAGAAATTAATTTGTTCAACATAGAAAAATTGACATGCCCTAGTCTTTTATGCCACGAAAAAGAGTTAATATCAAGTGCACTAAGACATGAAAGTTTATTTTCAGGTGAAGACATAATATCAACTCTGTAATTTTTTTTGCCCCTTTTCTTGGAGCACCGCGTAGCCGGAGTTTTCATTTGTAACCATACAGTTCTTAGAGGTAAAGAGAAACCGGTTCCCTATGTCACACATTTGGGAAACACTCAACAAACTGTGCTTCAGACCTTTAACATAATATATATTTTCAATAGCATGAGAGTGAGACTTACCAACCTTACCTATACTGATAATATTACTTTTTTCCATTTTCGAAGCCCACACTCCCTCCTTGATAGGCTCTTAGTGAGAGAAAATTATCTCCATTTTCAGTCATGTGGCGGAGCAAGCACTATCAACATACCACCAATTCATGCTTCCTCTTACCTTAGCCTGCAAAAATATTTAGGGGTTAGCTTTAGGAACCCAGACAAGCTTGGATCTCTGTCTTTAAGTAAAATGATGAATAACATTCTTCTTAGTCCACCCTAATAGTTTTCTACTTATTAGTGAAGAAACATGTTTCATCACTTTACTTTTCTCAACATATGCAATATTTTTCAGGCCTGCTTGAATTCTAGCTATGCATGTTTCTATGAAGTGTCCATTATTACCACAGCGAGTGAAGAGGCAATTGTCAGGAATGTCTACATACTTACTATGAGGATTGTATGGAATTTTAGTCTTAGTATGTCCTAAACCCCTTTTGTTACTACTATAGTTCTTATGTATCTTAAATATTATTTGGGAAGACCTGATCCACTTTAAGTTCTTCTAATTCAAACTTGGCCTTATCCAGATTTTCTTGAAGCATCGTAACCTTTTCAGATTCACTAGAAGTTTTTTATTAGCTTCTTTTAGTCCACTCTCTAGTTTCTTCTCGATATCAATGGCTAAGTCTTTATCCTTATTGGGAGAATTGAGTTATTTATTATTCTCAGTTTCTATGGATGCATTTTCATCTTCTAACGCAAGAATCTAGTCCTTGAGATTAACTATAAACAATGCAAGATTTTCTCTACTTATTTCCCAATCTTTGTGCTCAGACCTAAGTGATGCATAATCATTCATTAGTTGTTCCTTTTTTATCAGAAATCTTTTAGTATGCATCTATCAATACAATAGACAAGGAAATTAATCTCCTTTTAGAGTAGGTGAAAATTTTATTTTTGATATCTTGAAAACTTACCTTAGGTTCTTCTTCCTCTTCAGCATCAGAGTCTGAATTTTCCATTAATGCTAGAAGATCTTGTGGTTCTGAATCACTATATTCCTTTGCCATCAATGATTGATCTTCATCGTCATCATCGTCATCATCGTCATCATCATCATCATCAACATCATCATCATCATCAGACTCATTAGTTGAAGATGATTGCATGGAAGCCATAACTCTTTTCATAATTTTGTCCATAGACTTATTTGTCATCCTCTTTTCGGGAACCCCGTTTATTTTTTGCTGTTTTATTTTCAGGATTGTTCCTCTTCCACTCAGTTCGACACAAGGGGTAGTCTTTAATGAAGTGATCCTTTTTTCCCCCCTTGCAGCATCTATCTGTATTTTTTTCTCTACAACCTTAGGTTGGATGAACTATCTTTCTTCAAAAATCCACCTCTCCTTATTGCTCAATGGAAACGTCTGGTAAGCAGTGCCATATCATCTTCTTCAATATCCTGCTTCTAAGTGGTCTTAAAAACCGGGTTCTTGGCCATGCGAGGTTCAGCAAATTATCGATCTAGACGATCATGATTGAGTTTTAACTCATAAGTCGCCAAGTTTCTAATGAGAATATCAAGAGTCGTTGTGTTCAAGTTTTCTACTTCAGTAATTGCATTGACCTTGCTTTTCATGAAAGGACAATATGCTCAGAATTTTTTTCACGATTTTATTAGGAGGAATAACTTTTCCAAGAGATATTAGTTCATTGATAATTTATGTGAGCCTAGTATGCATCTCACGGTGCAGCTTGATGAGGACTTGACTTATAAAGAAGAGACCGTAGCTATTCTAGATCGGTAAGTTTAAAAGTTGAGATCTATAGATATTTCTTCTGTGAAATTACTTTGAGGAGATAAGCCGAGGAAGAAGGCTACTTGGGAGTTTGAGTACGGTATGAGGAGTAGATATTTGTATCTCTTTACAAGTTCAAGTACATTTCTATGTCCGTTCGAGGATGAATATTTCTTTTATTGGTGGAGAATATGACACCCAACATATCGTTTTGAGTTCTAGCTTCTCATTTCACAATTTGAGACCTTACATAGCATTATTTGATGATTTATTACTTGCGTGGGTGGTCCGTCTAGTTTTCTAAAAAGTTTAAGTGTGATTTTACAAAGAAAGCCTGATTTGTGAATTTGAAAATGGTTAGAGTTGACTATGGTCAACATTATTAGTAAATAACATCGGATCAGTATTTTGATAATTTTGGTATGTTCATATGATGCTTTTGGACTTGTATACATGTTTGGTTAGGGTCTCGGGTGACACGAGGCCATTTCGGCACTTGTTGTGAAAAGTTAAAAATTAAAAGTTGCGAACTTTGAAACCTTTGAGTTTTGATGTGTGATTCTTGATCTTGATGTTAATTTGGTGTTTTGAGCTCATGAGCGAGTTCGTATGTAGTTTGTATACTTGTGTGAATATTTGAATTGGGACCCAAGGGACTCGAATGAGTTTCGAGATGGTTTCTAGCCATTTTTTACAATTTGCAACAACTGATGTGCTGCTGGTGCATTATGCATCGCGAACGCGTAGCTATGCTCGTGTTCGCAAAGGGGAAATTGGGGCAGGAGTGATTTACACTACGTGAACGTGAGGGAAAGCTACTGAACACTAGGTCCTGGGGGGACTTTCCTTTTGCAAAAGCAACAGACTTCATGTGAACACGTAGGCATGGGCTCTTGGGTGCTGGCAGGCGGTTTTTCATCACGAACGCAACCAGTAGATCACGAACGTGGAGGCTTGAGAGGGGCGATGCCTTCGTGAACGCAAGGAGGCCTTCACGAACGCAATATCTTGTTGGCCAAAGTCTTTGCGAATGCGGCAGGTGCTTCACGAACGCGAAGAGCACTTGACGCCCAGGTATATACAGGCTGAAAAATGGGATTTTTTTTCGAGACCTAGATCAGGGACTGAGGAGATTTTTAAAGAGATTTTCATCCTAACTTCTTTGGTTAGTATTTTTTTTACCTAGTTTTGATTAATTTCCATAAATACCGATAAATTTATCCCTAAATCTAGTATTTTAAAGAGTAAAAATTGGAGTTTCGGAGAAAAATTTATGATGGCTAATTGGTATTTTGGACCTCAATTTGAATCACAAATTACATATTTGGACTCGGGAGAGAATGGATAGTCGGGATTTAGGTCTTAATTTCGGACTTCGATGATGTGAGCTCGGATCGACTTCATGTTGACTTTTCTAAATATGTCAAAGGTTGAATCTTTTGATACTAGGGTAGTTTCTAAAATTTGTTTTGACTTATTTAAACATTATTTGACTAGACTCGAGTTGTTTGAAGGCTTGTGCTAAACATTATTTAACTCATTTGATTTACTGGGTTTAAATTTATTATTTGTACTTCAATAGTGAACTTTAACACATATATACATGGTTCGAGCCAACTATTAGATTCGAGTAAACTCATAAATTATACAGTAGACCCATCTCTGCTTTAGATATGAACAAATTAATTGAGATGCGCATAAACTGATGGGTGCACGGGGATTTCCCCAACCTCGAAGGCTGAAGCTGTTTCTTCATCTTTGACCTTGGCCTATTAACAACATTTGACTCTATGTTCTCGTACGAGCTAGTGCCCATGCAGTTCCACGTTGTCAGCTATTAATTGGTTTTGATTATCATCCTTGGAAGTTAGTATGGTAACTAAGAGGATGCTTGATGCAACTATCTTATTTTTCACCCCTAACCGACTAGCTCAATTTTAGGAGAACCGGAGAATATAAATAAAATTTGTCATGATGTAGAAAATGGCAAGGTTTCAGGACCTGAGCACGGCTAGCTTGTCACTATCTACGTATATACTTACATTTGCCTACCAGATCTTAAGCCCCAATTTCTGCTTCCAGTTTACTATATAAATAAATAGCGCCTCCATACCCCTTCAACTGGTATTAAGTCACTTAGTACTCTCTCACCCTATCCTAATCCTTAATTGACTTACCAACTTCTTCATCAATGGCGGTTCCTGCAACATTCTCCATACATTATTCTCTCTTTTACTTTTGTTTAAGCTTTTGCTTCCATGGAACTTTTGCTGATTATGGAGGCTGGAAAAATGCTCATGCCACCTTCTATGGAGGGGGTGATGCATCAGGCACAATGGGTACGTACGTTTAGAGGCGGATTCAAAATTTAATCTTTATGGTTCAAGATTCTATAAGTTGTTTGAAAATATGAGTTCAAAACAAATTGTACTGTTACTGAAAAAGGAACTTATAAATACACCGGCAGTGTCACTATATTTTTCAGTGCTTTTTACAGCCGGTTATGTGTAGGTATCTTTTTAGTGATATGATAGTATAAAATTCTTTTATACTGTTTGTTAGTGTATAGAAGTTAAAAAACATGCCGTATTTGTTACATGCAGGTGGTGCTTGTGGTTATGGGAATTTGTACAGCCAAGGATATGGAACCAATACTGCAGCACTAAGCACAGCGCTATTCAACAATGGATTGAGCTGTGGGGCTTGCTACGAGCTCACTTGCAGCAATGACGCTCAATGGTGCCTACAGGGGACTATTACTGTAACTGCTACAAATTTCTGTCCTCCGAATCCATCCCTACCTAATGACAATGGCGGCTGGTGCAATCCTCCTCTCCAGCACTTCGATTTGGCTGAGCCTGCCTTCTTGCAATTAGCTCAATACAGAGCAGGAATTGTCCCTGTATCTTTCCGAAGGTAAAGTTTGATCTTTAAGTCATATACAAGCAAGCAGTATAACAAATTTTTTACAAAATCAGTGTAGTAACATGCGATACTTTATAAGTTACTCCCTCCGTTCACTTTTACTTGCTCGTCCATTGTATTAAAAATACATTTTTATTTCTACTTGTCCATTTTAGCAAATTAAGAGAAAGACAAACATTTAATTTTTTCCTATTTTACTCTTACCATTAACTACTCATTCCCCAAATTATTTTCCAAGACTTTTTGAAATTATTGTTAGGGATATTATGGTAAAATATGTACTTCAATTATTTTCTTAAAGGGAGTGTCAAGTCTATTAATATGGACAAGTAAAAGTGAACGAAGGAAGTACCATTTTTATCATGTTACTAATTACTAATGTTTATTAAGGGGATTTAGTTTTAATTACTCATATCTTTTAATTAACCTAGTTATGTAGTGCACATAACTTAAACTCCATTGATTTTCTTGAAAAGTTAAGTTTAATTTTTTTTAACACGGACAAGTGCACGTTTGTTAACAGTAAGGTAAACTACCCATAATAAGAGGAATATACTAAAAAAGCAAGACTTTTTGTCAATGTAATATTTGCATTGTATTGTCTGAATATAAGTAGGCAAGAATTTAATATCTTATAGGTAGTAATTAAATTATGTAACCGGCTGACATGGAGTTTGCAATGGTCAATGACAGGGTGCCATGCAACAAGAAAGGAGGAATAAGGTTTACAATAAATGGACACTCTTACTTCAACTTGGTATTGGTGACAAACGTTGGGGGTGCTGGGGATGTTAATTCAGTCTCCATTAAGGGATCTGGTTCTGGATGGCAAGCAATGTCCAGAAATTGGGGCCAAAACTGGCAGAGCAATTCCTATCTCAATAGTCAGAGTCTTTCATTTCAAGTTACTACAAGTGATGGAAGGACTATCACAAGCTATAACGTTGCACCACATAACTGGCAATTTGGACAAACTTTTGAAGGGGTTCAATTTTAATTTTAGCAAGAAACTTAGTAGGTAAAAAAATAAACAAAGGGGCTTTCACTCAGTCAAATTCCAATTTCTGTATGGCTTTATTGCTGTGGTGTGCCTGGTGGTTGGTTAGCACCCGCTTAGGCCTAAAGTGGATATTTAGGGCTCGTTTGGTACGAGGGATAAGGAATAATTAATCCCGGACTAAATTTAAGAAGAGTTTATCCCATGTTTGGTTGGGATAAAATTGCAGTATAATTAATCACGGGATTAGTTCCCGGGATTGTATTGATTTCTTATCCCTATGGAAAAGTGGAATAACTAATCACGGAATAATTAGTCTTGGGATAACTTCTTTCCAACCGAACGACCCCTGAGTAAACTAGTTAATACTGCATTTTGAGTCTTTCCGAGTGCATATTCATATCCTTTCCAATGATATACAATTGGTCACTATTTTTTTTTTTTACCCCTCTTTGAGAGCTCCCTATTTTTACTTTGCTCCCTTAGTGATCCGAACTTACAATCTTAAGGTTGGAAGTGGAGAGTGGTTATAACTTGAGCAATCATCACTTATGAATAGTCATTTGAATATTATACCGATTTATCGGAAAATTTTATTTTGTGTCTCATACAACTGACACTAATTGTATGAGGTCTTTTTTGTCTCATAGTTTTGTGGACCCCGAATTTTATGGATCCAGAAGTGTAAGATTGGGGTCCACAAATTTATAAGACAAAAAAGAGTTTCATACAACTAATGTCAATTGTGTGGGGCACACAATAAAACTTCTCCCGATTTATCTGTTTAAACCCTGATTCTGACAAAAGCTAAATTGGGGCAACTTATTGTCACGTACATTATCATTTTATCTGTATTCATTCTATACGTTGATGCCTGAAATATTTTTATTCTAAAGGAACTTCGTAAAGAAACAGTAATACACATAAAATTAGTTAATCGGAAGAATGGTAATATTAGAAAATTAATGCAAATAGGTTAGACTGTTGTAATTATTTTGCATCAATAATAAAAATAGTATTAAACAATTGTCACAGTGAAATTAAAACAAATGAAACAAGTGTAATACTGCAAATAATGAAAAATGTTAATGTTACGAACTCAAATCGAGAGGAAGTATTCTGAAAATCATCCCCAAAATATGTACTGGATCACATTTCAGTCGATACCTATGGAAAATCTAACACTTGCTAGTGTATTGGGAAAAATTGAGTTTACATATTAAAAAGTGTGAAGATGGCGTGTCATGGCACGTAGAATGGTCAAATAGTCAAAGAGTTACAGTTAGCCAAGAGGCACGAATGGTAATAGATGCGAGCAAAAGCAAAGGAAGAGGCACGGGCGATTATTTAAAGGATTCAGCGCCCGTACCTATTCAAGAAATTTAAGTTCAATAATCAAGAAGAATCAAGGGAATGAATATGACAGCATACGAGGGTCCAAATACAGTATTTGATAAGCATTAAATGCTGAAAACGTTAGAGAATCTGTCTTAAATGTAATGATTATGTAACGTAGTATTCAATGTCATTTATTGCCCATAATAGCCTTATTATGACCAAAGCAAGACACTTACATCCGAAATAGCTATAAAAGGAGAGGACTGAACAGTTTTAAGAAAAAAAAGATCATCTGAATATACTTTGCTTTACTTGTTTTATTCAATTATATTCTAGCTATTCAAATTACTCTCTTCTATACATTCTTACAATTATCAGTTACCCGTGTTCTTCTAAATTATAGCTTTAGTCAAAATTCTATTTTTTGGTTAAACAAATTGGTTCCGTTACCGGGAATCTGATAATCCATTTTATTTTAGCCTAACTTTCCTTGTTGCATCAACCATGTCGAACAACAATGACAACATTCAAGGAAACCAAGAGAATCAAACAACCCAGCAACTTCAGGGAGATCCACAGAATAATAACATACTGATTCCTTCTCCACGAGGTTCTCCACGGCGGTCTCATGAAGGCACTCCTGATGGGTCTCATACAGATGGACAAGCTCAATTCGAAAATGTTGAAACTATGGATGAGGCTTTGCAAAAACTTATTGCCTCACAAGTCAATAAAGCTCTTCAGGCTTTTGTTAGTCAATTACCTGTTGCACCATCCACACCCATGCCAAATAACAACACTCTAGAGAACCCTCGTTCCGGGCTCGTTAATTCAGGTAGTGGTGGAACCCCCAGCAAATCACAGGAGGGAGAACCAGGTAATTTAGTTAATTCTGATTTACAAAATTTAGTACTAACATTGCAGAAACAGCTCAAGGAGCAAAGTGACCACATAGAGCAAATACCTGGGGTGCCACCTGTGATCAAAGGGGTAGATATGGATAAATATTCACAACAACCCTGGAAGCCAAGTGCTACTCCCCTTCCAATCCCAAAGAAATTCAAAATGCCTGATAAACCAAAATACGATGGAACAACAGACCCGCGAGACCATGTGACTGCATTCACAACAGGCGTAAAAGGCAATGATTTGACTAAGCAGGAGATTGAATCTGTATTAGTCAAAAAAATTGGTGAAACACTCACTAAGGGTGCATGGTACTCTCTTTTACCCGAAAATTCTATAAACTCTTTTGCTGAGCTTGCAGATTCTTTCATTAAAGCACACTCGGGAGCTCAAAAAGTCGAAAAAAGAATGGAAGATATTTTCAAGATCAAGCAAGGGGACTCAGAATTGCCTAGGGAATTTGTGGACAGATTCCAACGTGAAAGAATGACATTACCACGTGTACCTGACAATTGGGCAGCTATAACCTTCACAAGCAATTTGAATGAAAAGAGTTCAGAAGCTACGAGGCGACTCAAGGAAAGCCTTCGTGAATTCTCAGCTACAACATGGAATGACGTTTACAACAGATATAGCACAAAGTTGAGGATTGAAGAAGATATAATTTCACGACATCAATAAGAAGAAAAGGTAAGCTCAAGACGGGTGGAAAACGAAAAAAGGTCCGGTAAAAACAGGTACGAGCCATACATGGGACCTGCGGGAAAAGACTCACGGTCAAAACAGGACAATCAGAGGTACGATCACAGATCGAGGAATAGAGAGCCAGGCCCATCATCTAGATTTGGAAATGACCGAAGCACACGTGAGTCACGAGATGATGATAGAGGTCTAAAGGCAAGGTTTGGCGGTTATAACTTCAACGTGAGCACTTCTGAACTCGTGGCTGTTTTAAGAAGCATGGGAGATAAGGTACGATGGCCGAAGGAAATGAGATCAAATCCCAACAGACGAAACCCTGATCATTGGTGCGAATTCCATAACGATCATGGGCATAAAACGGCAGATTGCAGGTTTTTGCAGGGTGAAGTTGATCATTTGTTAAAACAGGGGTATCTCACTGAGTTATTCAGTGAGAAAGGTAAACAAGCATACATGAAAAACAGGCAGGAACCTCCAAAACCACCTTCTCCCAAAAGAACTGTCAACGTTATAAGCGGGGGTGAAGACGTCAATGGCGTATCATATAACAAGATTTCCAAAGTAACAATTACCCATGGGAAGCGGCTGCGACATGTCTTGGAGGAAGAAAATATTACGTTCGATGATGCAGATGCCGAGGGTCTATTAACTCCACATAACGACGCACTGGTAATATCTTTACTTGTACATGACACTAACGTAAAACGAGTTTTAATTGATCCAGGTAGTTCCGTGAACATTATTTTGGTAAGAGTATTATGTGAGATGCAAGCTGAAGATAAAGTGATACCAAAAGCGCATACTCTATCTGGATTTGATAATTCTAGTGTTGTCACAAAAGGAGAGGTAACACTCACCACATTCGTTGAAGGAGTCGTCAAAGATACATAGTTCCAGGTGGTAGATATGGAGATGGCTTACAACATGATTCTTGGGAGACCATCGATCCACGAAATGGATGATGTTCCTTCAACCTTGCATCAAGTTATTAAATTTCCAGCGCCATGGGGAATATGTCAAATCAGGGGAGATCAACAAACATCCAGGAGTATCAACTCCGTGGCTGATTCAAGTGTTAAGGGTGAAGAAAAATAGCAATTACAGAATTCAGTTGAGGATAACATAGTGTCAACCTCAACTGAACAAGGGCAAACAGATGTAGATTCAATGCCCGATTCCATTCAAGAACCAGAAGACAATGAAAACATCAAAACGACGATAGAAGAGCTGGAGGCTGTGGTTTTGTTTATACACTGGCCGGAGAGAAAAGTGTATATAGGGGCCAATCTCAGCCCGGATATGAAACGTAACTTGATTGAATTTTTAAAAGCTAACGCAAATTATTTTGCTTGGTCCCATTCTGATATGACAGGTATACCACCGGAGGTAATGACTCACAAGTTAAATGAGGACCCATCTCATCCACCTGTCAAACAAAAGAAAAGAAAGCAGGGCACTTTAAAAAATCAGGTGATTCAGGATGAGGTGCAAAAATTGTTAAAGAATGGATCTATTCGCGAGGTAAGTATCCTGATTGGTTAGCCAACACTGTTGTGGTACCTAAAAAGAACGGTAAATGGCGAGTCTATGTAGACTATACAGATCTTAACAAAGCTTGCCCAAAAGACTCTTTTCCATTGCCTCATATAGATCAATTAATTGATGCTACTACAGGGCATGAATTGTTATGTTTTTTAGATGCATATTCAAGTTACAATCAAATCAAGATGGATTCAGCAGATGAAGAAAAAACTTCATTTATAACAGACAGGGGGACTTACTGCTATAAAGTAATGCCTTTTGGACTCAAAAATGCAGGTGCAACATATCAAAGACTGGTTACTAAAATGTTTCAAGAGCATTTGGGAAAAACTATGGAGGTCTATATAGATGATATGCTCGTTAAAACTCAGCATTCAGTAGACCATATATCGCATCTGACTAAAACGTTTAAAATTTTGCGGAAATTTAATATGAAGTTAAATCCCAAAAAATGTGCATTTGGTGTTGCATCAAGTAAGTTCTTGGGTTTTCTTGTTTCTAACCGTGGTATTGAGGTGAATCCTGCACATATTAAGGCCATTGAAGAAATCCCTGATATACTTTCGAGCAAGAAAGACGTTCAAAGATTAACAGGGAGGATTGCAACCTTGGGAAGATTCATTTCTAAATCATCAGAGAAGTGCTTTAAATTCTTTTCAGCTCTTAAGAAGCAGGATCATTTTGAATGGAACGAAGAGTGTCAACAGGCACTCAGGAATTTGAAAGCATACTTATCGAATCCACCTTTGCTAGCAAAACCAAAGGCTGGGGAAAGACTGCTCATTTACCTTGCTGTTTCAGAAATAGCGGTAAGTGCTGTTTTGGTTTG